AGTTCGATACGCGTTACTGGGACAGCGCTTCTTGTGCCGACACAACGGTGTCAGAGATACTTTCGGTGATCTAACCGCAAGGAACTCTGGGAAGGAGAATGGTAATATGCTAATGAGTATCATGATTTGTAAGCTGCCAACCAATAAAAAGGACAGCATTTTGTCTGATCTGTTCCACGCAACTATATATAACTCGCGCGTGGACAGACGCGTGGTATATTTTGCGCAAGCGCACGCGTACTTTCCTCTTTCGAAAGTGTCCCACTCCCGGTTTCCATAACATCACTGCATATCATTAATAATTAAGTAATAGCAATAGGTATGCCGCAGAATCGACCAATCGCGGTAATTTCGCTTCGAACCACGATTTAAGAAAGAAAACTATAAAATTGCCACGGTTGGGTCAGTCTTGATAAAACTGAACATACTCGGAATCTGCTACGCGACGGAAAAACTCATTAGCTCTGTCGCGTTGCAGGCCGCCATCAGCAACACAACAGTCGCGTCCCAGGGGACGGTGTGCGGCGGGCTTCATTGCTGCCTACGATTACGTGTCATAATAAGTGTCTTGTTTTTGTTAATCTAAGAATAAACATGTAGTCATGAAATGAAATCCAGAAACAATACTGATGTCGAAACGAGAACTACACCTAATTCGAACGGAAACGTTAACTGCTATTGAGAAAATAATTCACCACAAGCAACGCTGATTTACGTTAGCGCTGCGTGAGATGACACGCAAGCTCAACGTAGCGCTAACTTTCGACCCATCGAAAACTGTATGCGCGCCAGTGAAATACGAGTATTACAGTAAAGAGGCAGGAGAATTAGTTTTATTCAGAGCCTACGCCTACATTGCCAATTTTAATAATGTCAGCTAGTCCTCGCGGTTTTCGTTAGTATTTTGTTGTCAACGAAACGGAAAAAGACGAGCTTATTCACTGCGTGTCACATGACATGTATGAAAGGTCTCTATCTACGCACATTCAGAATAATTTACGCACCGTCTGACAAATACCCGTAGTCCGTAGTTGCCACTTATACGTTTTATTTAACGAGAAAAGGGATTATGTATATGCGTGAAAGTGTACTTGTACTCTCATGACACCTCGCATGTCATGTTGAGGGTCCGCAAAAGGAAACGTGCGTGTTATATAAAAGCGCATTTTGTATTTGGGAAACAAAACAAACAAAAAACGATTAATACGCTGTTAAGATCAATTAATTTGAGAACAACAAATGAATAATCAAGCCCTAAGCTCGTTTGACTCATACAAGTGTTTACCCCAGCTGCCTCCGTCGCTGTTTTTATCGTTTCGCTACCGAAAACTATTTTTCGGAGAAAACATACGGAGGCAGTTGGGGTAACAAGTAATTAGTAAACTTATTTTGAAGCTTCGACGAGGAGAGGGAGAGACAAATCTATAAAAAAACATCTTCACAATGTGACACAAAAAATAAATACATACGCTGGAAACGGCTACATTCGTTAACTACGCTACTGGTATATATTAAACTACAGCTTAGTGCGGTCTGAAATCCTTTTTTCGATCCTAGATAGCGTCGGGTCAGTTTGCAAAATAGGGAGAATTACACTAACACGTTGCCAAGGTAACGTTTCAGTAGTTTCACGTCATCATTGGAGCTTGTTCATTTTGAAACATGTATAGATGGCTGCAAGAGGCAGCTTAGATTGATTTGCAACAGTTCTGCAGAGTACGTGTCAAGTCAGATATCACTAAGCGTTATTATAGTACTAGTATATCATGCATGCGGATTATGCAGTTCCGGTCTGTTGTCGTTGTTACTTCGCTTGTTTTCCCGTAAATGTAGATCGTTGTCGATGACCAGTATCAAATTATGATACTTTGGCGATAAATGAACTTACTAAGGACACATGTACACATAAAATAAATCGTATATCAACCAAAAAGTAGTTTTTTGTGCGTTCGAGTTGACTTACTAGTATTTGGTCGAACGTACGACGACAGTACGCCCAGGGAAGGCACTATATAGAAATAACCTATTTGGGACGTTCTTCTGGAATGGGTCATTTTTTTTTAGATTATCAGCACATATTTCAGAGTAAATGTGAATTTAGGATATAAATACAATAATTCAAAACGATGGAAGGAAAACTCATTTTACAGAGAAAATAAGTCTCCACAAAGTGATATAATTTGAAAACGAACGAAGTTTCAACTACTACAACTACTTATGATAGAATTTTCGCTGCCGCTCGGCGAATCTGAAAATGTAAAATGCCAGTTTGGTTGCCCATATATTATTACTCGGCATTCGCAGCTGCAGTTGTTTTTCCGTCCGATTTTAGCGAGTTTGCGTTGTTTCTAACCCCGTACGGCTCGTCCAGAATTGTGGAATACTTTGTGGTATTATACCTGCAAGTCGCCTCCGCACCTACAATACAAGGAAATCACAGGTGGTCGCGCAAGGAATGCATCTATTTCTTCCTCTGAGAAGTTCAAGCGTTGAGTTATTAGTTCATTTCTAACAGTTAAAAAGGTGTGAGAGAATTCCTACCCCCCCCCCCCATCAGAAAGGTCGTGTGAGCTGCAATATAGTCATTGTGCTTTTTTTAATTGCCCGCTTGTTGTATCGCCGTCCCTGACGGACAGTGTTTTATATGTGAATGTATGTCTCCACACGCCTTTCTATCACAAGTAGTCGAACCGAATCAACATACGTCAATAATTATAAACAGGCACATTTACAATACAAATGTTAAATGGACATTATGGCAGCAAGTGAAATTCCCATGTTCACTATAAATATGCGTCCATTATGTCTATGAAACGTGTCGATGTTTTATAAATAGACCGATACTGTGTTGTTCGTTCTTGTCTGAGTGCATTGGTTAGTGTGTGTTCTTTACCCCTGGTAGATTTACAGTTAGCATAGCAGACACGGGATTACTTTCACACTGAAAGCACAGCCTTTCAAGTACGTATTGAAGCAGCGATCGTGGTCTTTATTAATCTGACAATAACCTATGTAATGGTTCCATTAACCAATACATCTCTCCGCTTGCAAACGATGATGTGAATTTCCAATTGAGGATTATCGCTATTACAGCTTCGCGGCGTTCTTTTATCGCCGCGGTCAGTCGATCGAGAAATATTACACTCGCTCGATGAAAAATACGATGATTTGTTACATATAATTTACGCGGGAAGATGATATTACAAACACGCTGATATTCTCAAATTCTAAAGAGGTAATCGCTCGAGTGACCCTGAGGATTTTTTTTAAAGCGAGATTTGTACAGGTTGTTGGAAGTTCAAAGACGGGTACAATGCCGTATGGCTCGTTTTAGAAATGCGTGACAAGAATAACGCTGGCGAAATCATCAGTATATCTTCAGTATCATTGATAGGATGAAACACGCCAATTATACACTCTTCAATTGACGATGAATACAAATCTACTCTTCGTTCTTTCTCGCATTTTAACACGAATGAGGTCATGTTTGGGTGATATACGGGGATATATTTGTCGAGGTGGTGCTCAATAATATCGGCTGATGACATCTCAGTGCATACGTACGTTTTTTTTCTTTCTTTCTTTGCACCTCATCCGTCTTATTTTCCAGAGGGCAGATTTGATTTATTGTAAAGTGTGATATTTTTTTTATCACTGAGAGGATTTAAATAATGACATGTGAAAACGGAACAAATATGCACGTGATTATTATTACGGATTATGTCCGGGGATTAACGGCTCATGTTTTAGTACCAGCTTTGACATTTTTTTTATATCCAGAAAGGTGAAATTGAAACACGTATATCATTGCTCCGTAAGAGTGCTGCGCGGTCTTCCCGGTGCACATGGGTAACATTATACGAACAGTATTACAGGAACGTTCATTGTATTTGCAATATATTCTAATTTAGAATTTATGCTTACCTGTTCTACCCATGATGATTCTTTTCAAGTTTATTATTTCGCTTTTGTCCTTTATAATCCGTGCCTCTGTTTTGCCTGATTCTGTATCATCTTCTTCCCATTCAACGTAGGATTCTCCCCGCATGACGACGTGAAGTGTTCGCAGAGGCAATGCAGAGGCGACATCAACTATCAGCCGCCCAGAGACAATCTCGCCCGCACGGTAGACAGGAGTCGGACGATCGAAATCGAACTCGAATCGCTCGGGAAGCTCCATCGTTCCTCGTAACATGTACTCTGTCATCTGCGGGAATGAGGCAAGAGGAAATTAGACGCCGTGGACATGGTGCGAAGGCATGGACGCAACGTGTTGCGGCTACAAGTATTTTACAACACACTATGTGGAATGTTTGTTTCTATGTGCGTGTCACGCGACGGAATGTGTTCTGTTCTGCGCAGTTCGTTATCGCCAGAGAACGCGCAACTTCATGGGTTCGAGGCTACTAGTACACACAAGAATCGTGAAACTTATCATTCGATGTTACATTCGCAAAATAAAATAAAATAAAAATATTATTGTGGCAATATTTAGTTAAGCTTTATTTAATATAGATGTTAGAGCAAGGCAATCTGCTGCATTTTTTCACTCTCAATATACAATCACTATATTGTGGCCAATAACGGCTTTTGTGAAAACAAATGACGCGAATACAAAGGAAACATTCAAAGTAAAACGACCATAAACATTTAAATGCAAGGAATCCCCCTAGGGGAAATAATTGAAGTGTTATTAAAATGTGCATATACGTTCTGCTTAGCGCTTTTTATTTCTTCAACTGCGCTGTTTACCGGGTACCCAACCTCGTGAAATTATTAATAACATTTTATAAGTATCTCGACGAGAGCCCCAACACAATGGGATTGCAGCAGCTCATTATACTTGTTGAGACCAGAAAGAAAGAAAATAGTGTCTCGTGGTATTGGATTTGATATTTACGAGGAGGCGAGGCCCGGTGCGGCCAGATCTATTGAAAATATACGGTATTTACATGTGGCATATTGTCGGTAACGGACGTGATGAGGTATGAGTCCTATAGACGGGGGCGTGTTCTCTGCTAGGTGTGAACGATACACAAATAAGGTCGACCCAAGATGGTGGTTTTAGGACGTGTATTGACCCCAATCGGGGTCGCTGAAGAGCTTACGCGGGTTTTCTCGTGAGAATAACCACAATCGTCTGTGCCTATCTATATATGTGCGTTTTAATATGAATACAAATTATTATTTAACGTTGCATGTGATTTAAGATTTTAATCAAATTATCAATCTGAATGCTACCTCATTTGTATATTTTGTTTTCAAATGTCCAAAGCAGCGGTGCTCGCCTTAACAACCGTTAATTGAGTTTACCCAATGCAATTACGTTTTATCATTGGGTTGTTACGCAGTCTTATTATGCAATATACATTTCGATAACGTGATTTGTGGAAATCTTTTGTCAAATGGTTTGTGAGATAATCTTATTTTCTTATTTTTGTGAATTACACGCATTTGTCAACACTGCCGCAAATGATTGGCAGGTTTGTAGTAATGTTAATAGGGGTGAGTCATTTGAAAACTGGGAGTTGCTGGTGGATTTAGGTGGCATGAATATGGCATGAACAGTATTCAAGTATTCTCAAAACTGTGCAGAATTCGGATGCACAATACCCGACACAACTTTCATTGAATGTGAGATATGAATATCTTAACAAATCAACTATATTGTATACACTGAATGTACCTTTCTTGTCAATATTAAAGAGGAACATTCAATCATCGTACTTAGAAGCTGTATTTGACTGTTAAGGTTTAATGTTGTTTTAGAACTATACGCGGTTGTATGTGACGCCGTCCCCCGTCGCAATGCGACGAACTCGCCGTTTTAGAAAGAGGGTGACGCCCCGTTTATCTTGAAGCCCCGATACCGTTTTTCTTATCATTATCGTGTTCTTATTTGCAATAAATTAGGTGCACATATTACAAGGCCCACAAAAGAGAGAAGGTACAGTTTTCTAACCAAAAGTTATGCAAGAAATTTGTGAATATTTTCAGTTGCACCAACTTAAATGACATGCGATCGACTTTATAGTGCCTAATTTCAAATATTTTGCTTAGTTATTGGAGTAATGCCATTTTTCTGGGATTTATTCTTCTTTTAATTTATTGGTTGACATATCTGACTGGTAATCTGTAATTAAAATAATTACAGAGCGGTTGCTGTCACGATGTTTCGTGTGTAGGTTTCATGGGGCATATAGACTCATATTCGGAAAGGGGGCGCTCCTATTGACGTGGATTGGGTTTGTCAATCGATTTGTCAATTGTTTTTTGCCGGCTGAACGGGGATTATCTCACAAACCATGTGACAAAAGATTTCCACAAATCACGTTATCGAAATGTATATTGCATAATAAGACGTCAGTTTTAATATAGTTACAAATATCAAATGCACTAATAATTATTCGAAGATTGTTCTTATATACGGATTGGCGTGGTAGGTGGCGCTCAACAATTCGACCATGCACATTGTGTACGACTCTGCAATTGATGGATGGAATGTCCATGGCTGCAGTTTCTGACTGCCATGCCATGACAGTAATTGTACGAGACATTACATTGTTGAATTACGGCCTTGCGAGAGAGATCAATTGACGGACTTTTTATAAAGCCATAAATGAGGGTGTTTCTTTCACATCAAATCACTCCTGGCTTCTCTCACTACAAGTCAATTACTAGCATCCTTGAGGTACGTGGGTAATTTCCTGTTTTACTGTGCACTTCTATGCTTTGACTCCTATCACAGTTATGTAACACGAGCCTTTCGACGAAAATGTATGTGCGGCATAACCAAGTTGCGTTGCCAAACTGTACCATACACTCCGTTCGCTGGTTTGTGCTTGTATGTATTTGAGAAACGCAGATTACGCGTAAACTACAAATATATATGTATTATAAAACGTGTTGATTACTGCACTTACGCCTGTTATTACCCGTCTAAACGAGTAAACTATTACAAAGTACTGCAGTGTAACGTCATAATGAGGTTTTTAAAACACATATTTTCAGCACAACAATTACGCCACTGACGAGATGAAAATGAAAATCGCCATACGAGTTTAATAAAACCGCAATTGCACAATCACGTATTTGATATCCTGTCTAGCCCATGCATCGTGTTGCGAGTGCCAATTTAAAGCGACAGTGTGTTGAAAACCAGCGTGTGCCACGCATGGGACCCCGACACGGCTAGTACGTCCGGATGACATACAGACGCAAACGGTGTTGAGAGTAAGACTCGGAGCTACGAGACTTAAATAATGCACACACGGTCGCCTTGAACCCGCCCAGTTTTTACACTACTCCTACGCGACGTCACACATGGGGCAGTTTTTTTGCTCACAGTGTCGGGGGAGCTTCCTGTCGTGAAAAGATGTTTAACAACAAAGTTGTTTACGTAATTGTCACAGACATAGAATGCAACAGGTTGTGTTTTAAAAATAAATGTTATACAGTCTCGCTTGCAACAGACCCACGTGACGTGAATCACGTGACACTACTTTCTCTGATTACGTTCGCGTACACGACTTCAGGTTCCTTGAAGAGCCTTTTCTTTGCCATTGATCCATACTTCACTCGAGACACTGTTTGAGGAGACAAATTCTCGCGACTCGCTAGCTCTCAACGAAATCTCGAAGGCCGTTTACATCTAGGTAAGAATACGAAACGCCCTTTCTACACGGTTTTGAAGTCACATGCGCGAATATTATGACTTCAGAACCATAAATACTCAGAAAAACGTTTTTTTTTTCTTTGCTTTTACCGACACGGCTGCTCTATAAAAGTGGAATGTATCACTGGTGACTTTTGTGATAATGTGTTTATTTCACTATCGACTCTCGTCTCTGATACAGTTACTGTAAAATGACTAATTTTCACTGGGTTTAAATTTCACTGAGGCATATTGAGTGGGTTTTAAATTCACGGTTTTATCATTTAGATAATGTGTTTTATGCTAAATTTTACATATTCAATGGATTTTAATTTAGCGCATTTTCCAGTCAGCGAAATAAGCCAAATGAAAACCCAGTGAATACTTAACCATTTTACAGTATTCAAGTTTTTAGTATCAGTGTTGATTCTAATAGTAAAAATAACATAATCAACGCGGTTCTCGATACAAATCGAACAACAGATTAAAGTTCCAGGAAGTTCCAGGTGGTGTTGGCCATGCCGCAAAGTATCATGGGAATAAACAATCAGGCCGTTCCATTTACGCGGCAGCTCCACACCGCGATCACATCCGGTCTGTTGGTCAACTATCGACACCCTGAACAACAAGCATTGTATTTATTCGATTTTTTGCATTTTACGAATGGTAAGTATCCCAGGCTCTCTTCGTGAATCTTTTCGATGCACATGGTTGTTTGAAGGATAATAATGTTGACACTTTAGTGTGAAATTATTGAAATGTAGTGGCTGACATACGTGTGTTGTTGAGTTTTTTTCCGGGTTGTTTCGTTAGTAACTATATGTTTGTTGACATGGTTCGTCATAATTACATTATTGATTGAAAAAACTTGGTGAAATATCGACACTTAATTTTGCAGTTCCATGAGTCTGCTCCAAATGGCGACATTACCTGATTGGTGGAAACGACCAGGCCATTTTCTAAATGCAACTTCTTGCGTTTATAAAATCTAAACACAGCGAATAAAGATTGGTGGAAACGACTCGGCCAAGTTGGAAGGTATATTATTTTAGCGACCGCTGTCTATTCAAGACTCCATCTTATTTTCAGGGCAGACCACCGTTTCATGAACGATGAACGCCACGAGCTTTACGTCAGAAACTACGTGTTCCAAGTTTGCGTCCATCACGAGCACTGGCTGCGTGACTAAAAGGTTAGTCCTATGAGTTACGATGGACAGTTCAGGAAACAAATCAAGACGTTGGTGTGTCTCGTAGACAAATCTGAAAGGAAGTGCTTCATTCACGTCCAATTTGTTACTCGTCTTCGAATCAATACATTTTTCGCCTGTTGGCTACTTGTGAATATCGTTACTGTTTCAGTAATAGATAATGAACGAGTTTGATAGATTAGGCGTCATAAAACGTAACACATAATCTATAAAACGTGTTCATTATCTTTTTTATCACACGGCGAGGTTGGCTCGGAACGAAATATTTTAAACATTTTGCCACAAAATAACCACGTGTTGCAAAATTATTTTCGGCGTGTTTGAGTTCGCGTATTTCGTTTATTCGAACAGTGTTTATCTCTAGTCGTCCGAATAACGGATTAACGATCCACGATTGTATTTATGACCTACCGTCTTTGATCTAGGCGGCCTTATCTGACTTTCTTGCGACATCGATGAAATAC